ACTCTCAGGCCATCCAAGATGTAGATGAGTTTGTTTCTTCATCAGAACAGATTTGGAGAAATTAGCATCACATCACTTGCTCACAAATGGTTCCTTTGCAGTGAATGGGTGCCGTCAGAATGAGAGTCCAAACAGCTGATAAAAACATCACAGTAATCCACACCACTCCAGTCCATCAGTTAATGTCTTACGAAGCGTAAAGCGGTGTTTGTTTGTAAGAAACAAATTCATCTTTAAGGTGTTTTAACTTTGCTTCTGGACGAAATATGAATGCATAAACCATGATAATGCTTTCTGCAGTGAAAAAGTCAATCTCCTGTTGTCCTCTCTCATCAAAATCCACCCACATATTTGTTTTGGGCTGTTTTGGCTTGTAAATGATGCTTGATCTGTGCATATTTCTCTACTGCTTCAGACGAGACAACGTTTCACCGAAGAAAACAGTATTATGAATACAGGACTCACATTTTAGCTGGAAGCAACAGTTTGAAGTTAAAAACATCTTAATGGTGGATCAGTTTCTTACAAACAAGTAGCTTTTCGTTTCACAAGACATTAACTGATGGACTGGAGTGGTGTGGATTATTGTGATGTTTTTATCAGCTGTTTGGACTCTCATTCTGACGGCACCCATTCACTGGTGAGCAAGTGATGTAATGCTACATTTCTCCAAATCTGTTCGTCATTTGAAGAAAGAAACTCTACATGTTGGATGGCCTGAAGGTGAGTCATTTGTTTTAGCAAATTATCATTTTTGGGTGACCTATTCTTTTAAAGATTTGCATCTGTTATTCACGTTCAAAAATCAGGCAGAATGAACCCTAAAATAAGCCTTTATTCCAGGAGGTTCTAAGCCAGTTGGAGCGGATCTGTGAAATGGGTCAAGTAATGCGTCAAGCTGTGCAGATGGATGAGCAGCGTTACTGCTCTGTAAAAGAGCGACTGGCGCAGCTCAAAGTAATGGCTTAATTTTAATTCATCAGCTTATCATTTCTGATTTCGTATGTTCATGTAACTCATCTTTTTCTTGATGCAGATTGAAAACAAGGAGCTCAGGGGTCTGCTGTCCATCAGCAACAGCTCCGTGAGGCCACAGAGAGACGAGATAAACCCAGCTGAGAGCCCTAAGAAACAACAGCCCTAATAGAGGAAATGTTACTTTAGATGGCAGTTTGTATATTTGTATGTCTGCTGACATTAATATCTGTATTGGGCTCTCTAGTGTTGAATTGAACTATTCTGGCGGTGGTTTAACTTCCTGCTGCCCCATGATGCACTTTCTGATGTTTGTTATTAATGATGCTAATGTTTTTGTTCAGGAAAGACGTATCACCTCTTTAGTTTTTTTTAATAATAGGTGCTTAATAACTTTAGGCAAATGTGCATTATAGATCAGTTCTGGCTTTATTTCTATTAGCATTTTCCAAAAAAGACGTTTATTTTAAAATGAGGTTTTTGTCTTAAATTGATTTAGCCTTTTAGTCTTTTTAGGTCACATTATTAAATTGTGTTTGGAGTACACTCTATATATGTGAAAACAATTATTAACAGCCCTATTAACTAACCTCAGCAGAAGATAGCTATATCATTAAGAAAGTTGTATGCATCAGCAGTGTTGCATCTTTCCACAGTTTGATGTGATAATCTCGTACGTCGTGTAACATGAACACAGTTTTGCGATGAGAATCTTCTTAAAATGGCCTCTGAGCATTCGCCAGTCTTTTAATTGTAAATTGTTGTATTTTCATCTCAGGAAAGCAATCATATGTACCGCAGTTGTTACTTTGTAGAACACAGTATGTACAATAAAATACAATATTCAAGTTTAAACATATTTCATCAGAAGGTTGATGTTTACGTGATAAATGATGAAGTATGATATTGTATGAATGTCTTAAAGTTTTCTAAAACCTAGAAACCATCATATGGTGTGACAGTTAATCTAACTAAATATTTAAATATTCAATTTACATGTAAAATAAACTAAAGGGATATTTTTTTTTTTTTAATAATTTGCATTGTATAATTGTTAAGCTATAATTAATATCTAATGAAAATTTCCATTAAACATATTTTAAATATTATGGTTTACCCATAATATCCGAAAAGATTAAAATGTAAAATTATTTCAAAATATTTGTTTATTTTAAATTAGATTTTAAAAAAAATATTTTCTAAATATTTTATCTTTCTAACTACATAAGAAAATATAAAAAATACGATCTAATTTAAAATATAAACAATGTTTTGAAATATTTCGATTTTAGTTCGTCTTAGATTTTTTATTTCAATATTTGTAACTTTTGTGATGCTTAAAATATTAAAAATGATGTTTATCCTTTTTAATAAAAAATAATATAAAAATTGTAAATAGTTGGTTATATAGTATATAATTATTCTATTTACATTTAAAAATATTTTAACACTTTTAAGCTGAAATTAATATTTAATGAAAATTTCCATTATATATATATATATATATATATATATATATATAACCTGTAATATACAAAAATAATATTATTTAAAATGATTTCAAAATATTTGTTTATATGTTAAATTACATTTTTAAATATTTTGATTTTTGTCTTAGTTTTTTATTCCAGTACTTTTGTGGTACTTAAAATGATATGATATTTAAAAAAATAATACAATTTTAAAAAGTTGGTTATCAAGCTATAATTAATATGCTTGGATTTCGGAGTGCTATTGAATAATGCAAATTTCCATTAAATACTGATGTATTTTCCACTAATAACAAAGTAACGAAAACGTGCATTTTTTTTCTCCGCCTGTCCAGCTGGGGGCGCCATGCCGCAGCGCGTACACACTCCTCCACTGCCGGGGAAGGAAAGTATTAACAGCGTACTCCAAGCCTTCAAGCTAAAGTCATCCGCATTATTGCCGCCGTCCGCCGTTATCATGTCTGAGAAAGAGCTCGGCCAAAAGTGGGACCACTGCCTCGCAGACAGCGCGATTAAATTCGGTAAGAACTCATGTGATTTAATAATCAGCTTTAATTGCCGACATGTTGTCACGTCTGTGTAGGGCACTCGGGTCACTGATAAGACGCTCTCACGATGGGTTTGGCTTAACCTAGACGCCTGCTAGGACGCCTATAGATGCTGTTTTGTTTTGAAAGTTCATTAGGCTTTGAGAACTACGGTATTATTCATGTGTTATATTAAAAAAGGTCAGGTGAATTACTACTAGGACCGCCTACTACTAATCTAGGCTGGCCTTAGAGTATGTCAGTGATGGTAACTGGGGGATTTTATACATACTATGTTAAATCTGTTTTTGGACTGTTTTTCTACTATGTACCATGGTAATTATCATGGTATACTTTAAAGTACCATTAATACAAGGCTGTATCTGGGGCAGTACCTTTTCACCTTTGTTGCTTTTTGGTACTAATATGTACACTTTAGGTATAAAAGTGTACCTTTTGAAAAGGCACTGCACCAGTGACAGCTTTTGTACCTTTTTTCTGAGAGTGTATGAAAGTAGTTGTATCAAGATATGATATAGGATAAAACGGATGGGTGTTATTCTGGATGCTGACTGGCGAATAAAGCATTCTAGTCATGAACATGCAGTAACAGCTCTGATGTTAAACGCCTGTTCTCCAGCATCCATAGAGACCAATTATGGGCATGCTGGGTAATTGTGTAATATAATATTTTTTTCTTATAGGTACCGGTCTGGGTCTAGGAATTGTGTTCTCCGTTGTATTTTTCAAGCGTAAGTGTATATTATATTGTATCTTGTGTAAACCAGATTTATTAGAATGTGTCTTCATCCATGCTAATGTGAAGATTTGTTTGTGCAGGCCGGACATGGCCCATTGTCTTTGGGACAGGACTGGGTCTTGGCATGGCTTATTCCAACTGCCAGAATGACTTGAAGTCACGTTATGTACTGCACAGTAAAGTTGCTAAGGTTTGTGTTTTGATTCTAGAGATCACGTGTTGTCTTGGTCAGATGTCACCTAGCTGTTCATGTCTGTTTGCATTGGAGGGCTTGGGCTCATTTATAAAAACATGCATAGAATTATCCAAGGTATCGCTGAATATTTTTATGAATAGTTTATAAAATGTACATACAAAAATCTGTGGTAGAGTATAATTCAGAGTATTGTATTTTTAGTTTTTAATTCAAATTTGATTTTTTCCCCCAAGTTTGTATTAGCTTTAATATTTACATTTTCTGTTTTAATTTTCAAGTTTTAATAATTTTATTAATTTGTTTATTAATTAGCTTCATCTTGATGTTATCAGAGCTACAATATTTCAGTAGTAACAAATGAATTTGGATTGAATTACAATTAGTCCATCTGTCAGCTATTCTGAACTCAATCATTTAGCATATTCAGATTATATCAGAAAAACATATTTTGATGCTTAATGCTAATTCACTGTAAACACTTAATTTATTCAAAATCACCTGATAAGCATGTCATGATACTTATCACATGAATTTCATATGCATGCTTTTTTTGGTGTATTTTCACATCAATTTGTACCTTTTCTTTTCTAGATTCGTTAGTGAATTTTAACACAATATCATATTCATGGAATCTCTGCCTCAACACATTTGAAGATCAGTGTTTCAATCCTGACCTGTTTTCTCTGGTCTCTTTCAGGAGCAGTAGAGTCGCTCGCATCAGTTATGGATTCTGTCATCTGCCTTGCTTTTCATATTCGAAGCCTGACACAATCAGACTGGTTTGTCAGACTGGTTGTCTTTCTTTCTCCATAACATCCATGTTCTTGTACAGGACAGTCTGTTTATATTTAATAAAATATTAAAAAAGGAGATTTGAAATTTGCTAAGGATGATTTGAATGTATTTTTTTTTATTTTTGAAAAATGGCCCTACAGTATCATGTGTTCCAAAAATCATAGGCTTCTATTATAACCCCAGTGATAGCAGCCTACGCTGTCATCTAGCTTTTGACCCAGGCCAAGATGATATTTGGCAACCATGCTAAACTAGTGCACTTACTTTGCTTAAAGCAAAACATTTGCACAAACCTGCAGTGTCCAGAGCCATGTTGGCATGGTGACAGTTCTCACAAGCATACTTTTTTTTTTTTAATCTGCCGTGCTTATACATAATTGCACTATTGTAATGTTGCTTTTTACATAAAGGTAGGAGTACATATCGAAGTTCTCATGCATGACATTGTTAAGAAGTAAGGCTTCAGGGAATTGTTGCAGGCTTGTTGGCTGTAACGATTATAAAATTACAAATATTAAATGTACCATCTTTTGCTTTTGACAAAGTTGTACACAACTGTACGACAGTTGTTTAAATTCTTTTAGCTTGTTTTCATCTTGGAATAAAATTTAATTTCAAAACCCATTTTTTCTCAGTTCTAATTCTCAGATGTTCTCACTATTATAAAAACACAATTGATCATGATGAGTTAAAAAAAACAAGAACAAAAAATAATCATGCACTTGGACATCAGTGCACAATGACTCAATTTCCACATCTCAGTTTGCAAAAAAACATGTTGACAGAAATGCATTTAAAAGTCAATTGTGCAACTGTATTGACAACATGCAGTCTGTTTTGACAATCAACTTAAAAAAAAAAAAAAATCAGTCAAGATGAGGCACAGAAGAAAAAGTGTTCACGCACACACAAACACGTCTTGTAAAATTACATTTTAATCATTTGTTAACAATCTTGCATATATATATATTTTTTTACATCTCACACATTTACATAAGCCTTTTGTTAGATGCTAATTGCTTGCTTCAATTAACCCTGAATAATGATTGGCTGTGAATGTGCATGAAGTCGCATTAAGAGTGCGATGCTCAAGACACGCTTTATGCCCAGCGGCAGAGTGCGGATCCCGCAGGCACCCTGAAGTGGACGATACAGGGATTAGAAGGGCACAGGGAACAGCCAACACAGTTACCTCTAGTGCACTCGTCCGCTCCCTTTTACTCAATTACAGCCACACAATTACTGAATAAAGAACGTTGAGCTCATAAAAATGCATAGAAAGCCAACAGAAATCCACCTTAACGGCAAGAAGCGGACATAGATAAGTTTGTTTTTTAATTAATTCATCTAAAAATATCTATACGGTAGTCTTGCTATTGTAACGCTCCCTCTCTTTTTCTCACACTCTCTCGTACCGAAGCCCACCTCTCAGTTGCCCTCCCCCAAAGAGTGTCATCATGACACGTAGCTTTGAAATACTCTGACAGGCATAGAATTGCTCATACTGGTGCTAAGCACTGAAGAAGCCAGACTATTGACTAGGAAATGTGTCATTTTATTGCTTTGCTCATCTCACGTTAACAAATGGAGTGATGGCAGCTGAATATCCTTGCACTGATGTGACTGAGGCACACAGAGGGAGTGAAATCACCAACCTCGCCAGGGGAAAGACGGAAAGGATTACTATAAACGGGACATCTTGATCTTTTTCGCCACCTGAGGTGGTCCGCATCAGATTTCAGCAAGGTGACCCGCAGATCAACTGTTTCACATTCAGCATCACTCTCTCAATGCACTTGAAAAACGCTGGATGTGTGTTCGCTTCATCGAGACCACAGGAAGCGCACAGTCCTATTCAACTCTCCGATGATGAGCTCACCTATCCCTCGAGTAGAGGCAGCATCAGGTGCGGATGTTCACAGGAGCTTCAATGACAGCGGTACTATCGGTGATGGCTGGAGCATTAGTGGCAGTGGTCCCTGGCTTCTCGCAGTCATGCTGTCCCTCATAATTCTGGTGACAGCTTGTGGGAACATTTTGTTGATCGCCTTGGTGTTTGCACATCGGTCGCTGCGCTGCACCTCCAATTGCTTCCTGATGTCCCTCTTCCTGTCAGACTTGATGGTGGCTCTGGTCGTGATGCCCCCTGCTATGCTCAACGTGCTGTGTGGGACCTGGGTGCTGGCGCCTGGATTCTGCCCCGTCTGGCTTTGCTTCGACGTGATGTGCTGTAGTGCTTCCATCCTCAACTTGTGTGTCATCAGTCTGGACCGCTACCTCCTCATCATCTCTCCGTTGCGATACAAACAGCACATGACCCCGCCTCGTGCCTTGCTTCTGGTGGGTGGGGCTTGGGGGTTGGCAGCCCTCACTTCCTTTCTGCCGATCAAGATGGACTGGCACAGCCTGGGTCGCACCCCAGACCTTGCCGAGAACGATCCCGCCAACGCCACGGTCTCCCAGTTGAGTTCCTTCTACCCCTATTCGTACTTCCAGCTTTCCACATCAGGGACGCCGTCCACGCAGTGCCGCCTGCGGGTGACTCTCCCCTTCGCCCTCGTGGCGACCTTTCTCACCTTCTTCTTGCCCTCTACGGCCATCTGTTTCACCTACTGCCGGATCCTGCTGGCGGCCAGAAGACAGGCACGACAGGTGGAGGCTCTTACTCATCCCGCTTACCCACATCACTCAACCGGCGAACCATCTCGTCCTCCTTCTCCCGGACACGCCGTCCAGGATGGAGACGACTACAGCCATCAGGAGCCATCCGTGTTGCGGCAAGCTCCGGTGAGAAGTCCAGAGTCAGAGAAAAGATTGGGATAGAAATTCAATTCGTGAAGTGCCAAGAACTAGAGTAGAGTTATCAGATAAATGTATTGCTTCATGTATGTGTGTGTGAATACTTCTTAAAACTTGCTGTGAACTCTCGACAAACTAAGCCACTTGGAGTAGAGGTCTTCACAGGTCCACTTGGATCCGAAAACCCGAGATCCGACCCAAGAGGGTTCGGGTCCAAAACTTCTACGAGTGTATCGGACACAGGTCAGGTTTGGTATTAGCAGCCTCGGGTAATTTCTCATGCTTTTTCCAAATGGACCCAATAAGACCCGAATTCTTTTAAACTATCCTGGATGCGAACATGTGCGTTCATGTTAAGTCCATTTTTGAGAAACTCACGTAGAAAAGGAACATAGTTTGTAACCTCGAAATCCATCTTATAGATATGAGATCAGGAATATCCACTTACTTCATTACGCTCCGTGTTCATGCAGGGCTTTTCTTTTTTGTGCGCAGAAGCCCTTCACCGTAGATGAGGTAAATAACATTGTCAAATCCATGATTTATTAGGCTATCGATTTACTTCTTATCAAGCAATCGCGTTTATTTTTCAAATCCGGTCACAATTGAAAGATGTATCCATCAGGCAGGCAAAAATATAGAGTAATATTCGGGTCGGGTATGGATTTTAGGACCCAAGAAGACCTCTAACTTGGAGTGCATACATTCTCAAACTGTTTTGGCCTATTGTTAATTTACGTACCCACTGCTTACGCAAGTGAAGGCTGTGTGATTACAGACACAATGCAGCATGTTGAGAATGTGCAGAGAATTCCCCGCACCTTAACAAACACAAAAAGAAAGGTGAAAGCGATGTAGCGGAAAAAGGAAAATTCAATTTTAAGGACTCAAAACAGAAAGTAATGAGACAAGATGAGGGTGTCAGAGTGCCAATAAGGCATTTGAAGATGAGGAAGGGCGAAATGGGAGGGTAGAACTATTCAAGAGAACAGCAAAGACCTTGCGAGGCACTGTCACTTTCAAGAGCTTTCATCTGAGAGAAGGAAAGGCATAAATAATTACCCCAGGCCAAGATAACATTACTACCCATCTCTCAGCAGGAGAATCACTGTGAAATCTCGATGAATATATTCTTTTCTGTCTCTTCCTCTCAGCTGTCGGTGAACAGTGAGCGCAGACTGGCACACAGGCAAAGGAAGAGAGCTCTGAAAGCCAGTCTTACCCTGGGAGTGCTCCTGGGTCTCTTCTTCAGTGCCTGGCTTCCCTTTTTTATCACCAACATGGCACAGGTCAGTCCACAAAACAGTTAAGAAACATCAACTCACTTGTTAATCCTTACATTGACCTTAACAAGCATGTAAAAAAAAAGGGGATGGGTGGCAAATTAACTGCAGTATGACAAACTGACATCCCATTTAATTGAGCAATTATTCCTTATCCTGCTCTCGAGCTCTCAACGATCCCGTCCCCCATCTGTGTCCCTCTCTTTGCTCAGATTTCGAGCTTCTGGGCAAGCCTTTCTCTAGCCCTCCTTCACACACAATATGGTGTGTGAATAGCACTCCATCTCTGTCTCCTACTCTCCCCTTCTTCATCCGTGGCATCCCAACATCCTCTTCCGACGAACTAGACATCTTTGACCTTTTCCACCTCTTTGGTATCGAGTCTCAGCTACATTATGTATTGACTTTGTGATCTAAGACCTTTTCTTCTGTTCATTCAGGCGGTGTGTGAGTGTGTACCACCCTCCTTCTTCGATGCCATCACCTGGTTGGGCTACTGTAACAGCACCATGAATCCAATTATATACCCAATGTTCATGAGGGATTTCAAAAGGGCTTTGGCACGGCTTCTACCCTGCTGTTCTTCATCTCAAGCCCCTCGTAGGCCATCGCTGCCACTTTCCCTTTCTCTACGCAACTCAGGGGAGCCACAACTGCCCACTGAACCCCCCTCCCTTGTGTCCGACCCGCCTCAACTACCGGCGACGGCCACGGACGCTGTTAACCTTCTCGACGCAGAAAAAGCCGGGATCGACCTGCCTCTACTGCTGCCCAACCAGGTCGATACATTAGACGATTGACACGCCAACCGAGACAACAAAAGAAGTGCAATATACTGTGAACGGCAAGATGTGAGACTTATAATTACAGGTTTTTGGAAAAATGTGTTGAAACGTACCATGCTAAAAAAAATCTATGGGATAAGTGTTAATGGGATAGTCGTGCCTAAACTGGAAGGCTGCATCGCTCCTCAAGGCAGATCAGGGAGATTGCACATTTAGAACGGACTCAACACACATCCAGCTTCATTCATTACCATAACAACCAAAACAACAGATGGATAAAGCAGACGAGAGCGAAAGAAATCTCACTAATACCTCTCACAATGTCAAGTGGGTTGTCTGTGGAGCTGTAATTCACATCTTAATTAAACAACAACCCACTTCTAATGAAGGGGGCAAATGGTGTATACAGAATACTGACAGTTTTCACATAGCAGTTTATCACAAATTATATTTAGCAGTGCTTAAAGAAAAATCTAAATTAATTAGAGATGATACCCACAAATAACTTACAGATATTATTAGACAATTCCAGAATGACAAAAAGCCAATGTTCCAGTTGGTTCTAGCTTATACTGATCACTTACACTCTGGGTGGTGTCTAGATGGTAACGCTTCTTCTGCTAAAAGTCTTGTGAGATTCACATGTGACATTAAAACACTGTGTTTATTTGAGTCCCACAGCAACCCTACGCCTAACCCTTAATCTTGGTAGCAGCAAATGCGAATCTCAGGAGTTTCTTGGAACGAGGTTTACCATCTAGACCAAACCCACATTTTATGAGTTGTGAATCAAGGAAATGTCAAGGCTCTTGGCTCAGAACCAGCAGGTTTGCCATTGACTAACTGCTCCTGTGCTTCAGTGTGCGACTGGTAGGTTGTGTTTGTGCATTCAGTCGTCCAGTTTGTGTCGTGCCAGTCCCAGGACGTGTGCTCACAGTCTGTCTCACTTTCATCGTCTCTGTCTATTTTGCCTTGATCTTGAGATGGTTCAACATGATCCTCGACTCCGAGAGCGCATAGCGAATGTGCGTTCCCTTGACAGGGATCAGGGACGCCATCACATTCACTGATGGAGTCCAGTAAATCAGATATATCAGGGATATCCCAGCCATTCTCAGAGTCCTTCCTCTCGCACCGTTCCCTGTCTACAGTCTGCGTCTTGTATTTATCTACATTTGCCTCTGTGGTGTCTGAGGTATCATTGTTTGAAATGTCCATGGATGGTTCCCCTTTGACTCTGCTCTGACCAGCTGATTCTGGAGTGCCTGCTTTTTCCTGAGATAAATGTACCAGCTGTTGTTTGCCACTCATGGCTCCAGCTTCTTCCCTGGTAGGAACCCCTACTGCTACTAGGATGGTGTCCATCTGACGCATATAGTCCAGGTGTCCTTTTACCTAAGAGGTGGACAGAACATAGCCAGTATTTATAAAGCAAGTGGGAAATACTATACATTACTTAGTATTTTTACAGTGCTTGCAGTGCATTATTATTTTGATATCCTCCTTCTAATTTTAGTGGTGCTTGTAAACTTTTCAGAAAAATCAAGCTTTGGTGCATAACTCAGGCATGTATTATACCTCAAACCACGAAACGTAGGCTAGTACTTTTTTAAGTGATCAAATTTACATCTTTTTTTCATGCCCTGGTGGATGATAAAAGCAGTGGAAAAACTCGAAAAGATTTGTATTATAAAAAGAGAGGCCTGAACCAACGTACATAGACTCGGGGGTGGAATCTTTGATTTAGGCTAGCAAGTAACCACCTAGCAACAGACTAAAACAACATAATGTTTTGCACAGGCAAGGACCAATGTAAAATGTACATAAGGGTAGATATTTAATATCTAATCCATATCCATATCTATATCCATATTTAATTTTTCACAGATAAAAATATAAAATAGACATACAGTCTTTTCAAGGGTTTGCAATGTTTTTTACTTTGCTAACTGACACTGGAAAATAGGTCAAATTAAAAATACATATGAAAAACACTTAAAATTTTAATCTTAGGTGAGCTAAAAATCTTGTTTTATGAACTTGATACTATACAAAATACTATTTTTTTCTAGACTTAATTTGGAAATGTCCCTTTGATTAATATTCACCATCTGGTGATCATTATGGTATCACTGCAATATCTGTGTACTGTGATTGGTCTATTTGAACTGATTTTCACTATAGCTGCTTTAACATTGCAGCACCACATTATGTGACATCTGCTAAGTTTTTATGTTAACAGCAAGATTACAGTTGCTCTGATAAGCCTAATTTAAACCTAAAACGGTAACACTATTCTTGTGCCGTCTTACAAGCACTGGTATTTATTTCAGGAAATGCAGATTTAGTTGCTCATTAACATTTCTTCACATGCCAAACGAAGGTGCAATTCTTCACATGCCTCACATCGCAGTTGCATAACCAGGGTTCTTGAACTGATTTCCTTGCCATATCTCCCGCCGATTTATCTAAGCTGTATAATTATTTGTTACATGAAAATCATTTTACTGCTTTCACAAAAAAACAAGACGTAACAAAAGATATACAAGCATTTTGTGATATGTCACATGGATGGCGGGCATGATCTGTTTCTCAGTGTAACTTAGAAGGCATCGCTATGAATAGATCATTTGAAGTTGAAGTGTCTTGATTTTTTTTTAATTTTTTTTTTTACATTTGTGCATTGCATAAATGACACTTTTTTTAAAGGTAATTTTCCCTTTTTTATGAGGTAACCGCTTTTTTAAGGACTCCACTTGAATATCAACGAGCAACTTCCTGCGACAGTAATTACAGTAATTGTAGTCTTTTGTGGGTGACAATTTAACAATGCCCTTTCTATTCATGGCAGGGGGTGTTCTGCAAAAAGCATTAAATCATTTTTGTCCAAAAAAGTAACTTCAGATGACTTCAAATCTTAGCAAGCTGGAAGGAAATTAAACTTTGACTTTGCGATACTATAATGTCATGCCATTGTGTTGATTTACTATTCCAGCCAGGAAATTGAATCTGAATCTAAATGCATCTCACAGACACCAAGAACATTTTAACAAAGAGCATCTACTAAGAACAACAGGGACTTAATGCTCAATGCACACATGCATTTGCTTACCACTGATGACAGATCCACATTGATTATTTTGCGATCTTGCGAATTGATTGGCTGGAGCCCAGCAACAGACAGCTGGACCGATGAACTTCTATACAGGAATCCAAGAAGCCAATCCCCTCTACACCAATAAAAACACAAAGAAACACATTTTCAAACATGCTAATGTAATAACTAGGACTGTCAATTAAATCAACAACAGTTATTTAAAAAAAAAATCATAATCTCCAGATTTGTTTGCAGTTAACATGTTGAGACATTCTGTTACTTTTTAATAAATAACTAAATGAATAAAGTGTCATTTCTAATACTTCATCTGGTGGCCTAAAATGTAATTCGGTGAATGTGTAATTTAAATTTCATTTTAAAAGAATTGCCCATCATAATCTATTTCAATAAAATGAAATGATCTGTTAATGTGTAACTTCAGCTCTTTTCATTTTGAGGCACTAAATGATTTAATTGCCATCCAAATCTGACATGACATTGTTTTTCTCCCATTGATGAAGACATGTGGTCATTCATTTCCATCTTAACCGATGTCTTTAGGTTTTAGAAAAGTTAGCTCAGTGGAGGTTTGTTTCCAAGAACTGTTTGGAATTAACTTAATGAAAGAAATTGCACAAACATCCAGCCACAGTAACTGTGAACATACACCTCTATTTAAATTTCAGGGTCAGTAAAATAAAATAAAAACGTAAGCAGGAACAGGAATCATAAACAGGAGCAGTTTTATTAGTATTATTTTTCTGATTAAGGAAATAGGAACGTTAATTTCGGTTATTTTATTTCTCCTATAGCCTAACCGACAACCGAGGTAGTTAAGCCATTATTAACCATTAACCGACAAGATTATGTTACATTACAATTAAATGAAATTTGAATTGATATGTGGCTGTGACCCATTAAAAATACCTAAATTTGTTTTCCAGGGATTAATTTTATACATGCAAAAAACAGCATAAACAACAGAACGTGAGGATTCACATGGTCATGTCACGCACCTGCAGCGCTTCTGCGAACGGAGAAAAACATTATAAAGCTATATATAAAAGAAATAAATAGGCCTATATGCGAAATACATTTTTCTAAATAATTAATGAATTAACAAAACGAAAGAAAAAAACCTGTGCAACAATCAGCAGCCTATATGCAGAATTTAGTTTCATTTTTCTGATGCGCTCTTGAGAAAGCGGCATCCTGTTTGTTTCCTTTATTTTACAAAAGCACAATGTTTTGTTTTTATTGTGAATGTACACAAATAAAAGAAATATTTAGAATTGTTTTGAATAATGTTTTACACTTATATGACCACAAATGAAGGAGCAGGCTATTGTAAGTTGTTTCCACTTTTATAAGGGAAAAAAAATCAAGTGATCATTTTAACTTGCAACGTACTAAAGGAACATCAAATTAAGATATGTATGTTTGAGAGGTAACTCGTCAATTTAATAATATGAATATGATTTAATGCGCTTTTGAACTACAGGGAAACGATGCTTTAACGTGAGCAACGTGAACACGGACGCTGCCTATAGGCTAATTTGGTCATGTGACAACATTTATTTGCGTTAAAGCCCCTTTTCTCGACAAAAAGTGTTTCCAAACAAATTTTTGCGACATTTGAACTATCGATATAGAATTTATGCGGTAAAGTTAAACGGAAAAAGATTGGGTCGACACCTGAGAAATTTTATCGATAAATGGCATTTCCATCAGCCATATCGGTAACATTTTTGACGCGCTAAATATTTTTTCCTTGGATGGAAACCTGGCTAGTGTTGCCAACTTAGTGGCTTTGTCACTAGATTCAGCGACTTTTTTCAAAAAAGCGCCTATAGCAACAATACAACACATAATTGGACAAACTATAGTTTCTGAGACCCGCCGGTAGCCTACTGCCGCGCGAGCGCGAGGTTTTGCGTCTGCTCTGTTCCGCGAGCGGCTGAGAGGAGCAGCGCTTTTAGTTAAACCAGATATTATGTTGCTTCTCTAATTTTAAGTATAGCCGAAATTACAAAACAGATACTGTCTTTGTATCGTGAAAAGCGCTGTACAAATAAACTTGACTTGACTTGACTTGACTAACAAGCCAAAACTAATTAATTTAAAATGTTGTACTTATCGTTCCAATATCCACGTAAAACAAGATCTTCAGAACAAAATGAATAAATTTTAACTTGCAACGTACTAAAGGAACATCAAATTAAGATATGTATGTTTGAGAGGTAACTCGTCAATTTAATAACATGAATATGATTTAATGCGCTTTTGAACTACAGGGAAACGATGCTTTAACGTGAGCAACGTGAGGTTTTGCGTCTGCTCTGTTCCGCGAGCGGCTGAGAGGAGCAGTGCTTTTAGTTAAACCAGATATTATGACATAATAATTATGTTGCTTCTCTAATTTTACATGCAAGTATAGCCGAAATCACAGCACAGCTATTGTCTTTGTCTTATGTGTATTGATTTCAACAGACGACGGCTCGATAATAAATCAAGATTTTTGTGCAGATTAAGGTCTTGGAAGGTACAACTGGTTATGTAGCCTTAATGGGAGGGGCGGGGGGACAATGCCCCCCTGTCAACAAGCTTGGCCACCCTAAATTTGGAATCATATCACACCAAACAATTTTGGGTGAAATGCGCAGTTTGTCCTGTAAACTATATAAAAAAAGAAAAACATTACCAGCAGCTAAATTCAAATCTGCGTTCGCTGGCTGGCACAGAGCCAGAGACATACACGTTTTTATAGCACTGCACACCATAACCAATCACACACGATTCTGTTGAGCTTAAGAATGCAAGGACCAACCAGAGGCGTTCAGATGAGTCATCGCTGAAACGCCGCTGTTTCGTCACCTCGAGCTCGCTGTCTGAATTCTCTGGCGAATTCTCTCATCAGAAACAACAAAGTGAAGATGTCGAATGTAAATAAGATATTAATTTCACAGTGTAAACAGCTTTAGTGATTATTATGGGAGTTTTTGAGAGTGCTTGTAATGTAATGTAATGTAAACGTTCTTTGCTCTCTTTTTGTACAATGAAAGTGTTATAGACTAATTAGTAACTTACAATGTTTTTATTAAATTCACATTAAATACAAAGTCAGTCGTATTAAAAATACTTTATGGTATGACACCCATATCTGGTACTTAAGTAAAAAGACGGATTTTTATGCATATTTAATAGATTACACTATTAGCCTATTTTGCCCATCGCCCATTATAGATCAACTAAGGTGCAAAATGCATTTACTTACACATATTTGAGAATCAAGATATTTCATTATATATTTTGGGAATATTTTGAATAAAAAAAAAAATTTAATAAAACATAAGCCCAGAGGCGGACAGTAGTGAAGTATTTTTACTCTGCTGTAAAAGTACTTTTCAGGTGTCTGTACTTTATCAGAGTGTTTTTCTTTAGAAAACTTTACTTCACAACATTCCAAAGCATAATATTGTACTTTTTCCAAAGAAAAACACTCTGATAAACTACAGATACTTTTTAAATTTACTTGAGTAAAGTAAAAATACTTCACTACTGTCCGCCTCTGCATAAGCCCATATCAGTTATACAGTGGTATTGTGGCTGCTGTGTGTCACATGACAAGCATGAGAGCCCCCCCCCACTTTCACTCGTGCCCCCTCAAAAATAATGAGTGCATGACGCCCCTGACACTACAATATAAAATTATTTGTCAAACATATTTCTACAGCAACAAATCAGCATATTAAAATGATTTATGAAGCATCATGTGACACTGAAGACTACAGTAATGATGCTGAAAATTCAGCGTTGCATTACAGGAATAAATTACATTTTATTATTAAATATATTCACATAGAAAATACTTTAAAAAAAATGTAATATCTCACAATATTACTGTTTTTACTGAGCATAAAAGACTTCTTTCAAATATATTATAAGAAATCTTACAAGACCCAAACTTTTGAACAGTAGTGTATAAGAGAGAAAAAATAAATAAATAAATAAATATATATAAATAAAATATAGCTGCTCACATTAAATTCAAGGCATTAATGTTTGCCTACAAACCCACCACTGGCTCTGCACCCCTTTACCTAAATTCATTACTTCAGACTTATGTGCCCTCTAGAAGCTTGCGTTCTGCAAGTGAACGGCGCTTTATTGTGCCATCCCAAAGAGGCACAAAATCACTTTCACAGACTTTTACATTAAATGTTCCTTCCTGGTGGAATGACCTGCCCAACTCAATCCGAGCAGCTGAGTCCTTAGATGTTCCATCTTTAACTCTAGCAGTATCTATTCTAATTCTATTCTTTATAAAAAAAATGTATAATAAAATAAACTTGCCCCTTTTAGACTTGCACTCTTTGATTTATTATATGATTTAAAAAAAAACCTTGCTACGTGTACTGCATTAAGCTAACTGAGACTTGTTATAGCACTTGTATATCATTGCTCCTTTGTTGATTTTGATTGCTTCCTTTGTCCACATTTGGATAAAAGCGTCTGCTAAATGACTAAATGTAAATGTAAAAAAGAAAGTGAGTTAAATTAACTGTTAAAATGGGCAATTATAATGGCAAATTTGACAGCAAATTTGAATACTTACAGGAAGGGATCTGAACATACCCCTTACCCTAAGAAGGAGTAATATTAAGTGTCTTACCTGCAATATCCATTAACAATCTTCCCAGCCACAACCCTGGACAGCCGCTGCCATGCTTTCTCAGATCCGTCCACAGGGGCCCCCAGCAGCACCACATCCTCCACCACACCTTCACTACCTGTCCGATAATAAGAGACGAAAGTATTTCAAACGGCGCTGTGCCATCAGATTCTCATTTACAACCTCACACCTCGCAAAGAGAACACGACTCAATCTGGCTTGCAGGAAATTTGGCCATGTCCAGCTCTCTCATGTGGACACTTCTTGAGACACAAGGTCTTAAAGACACAAGGATGTTCCCTCATCATCGCCGACTCATTAAAATGAATAAAAAGCGTACCTTGATCATTAGCGAGCTCTTCTAGGCAAAAGTAGATGACACGAGCTCCAAGGCTAAATCCAATTAGACTGACAGGCCGCTTTCCCTGCACAAAGATAGAAGATAATTATACACATATTTGAAAGGAATATTCTGGGTTAAGATTATATAGGCGATTAACTCTATAAAGCCTACTGTATCATATTTAATACATAATAAGGTCTTTAAATAATCAACATGATGAAAACTTTGTTGGAAAACAGTTGTACACAATCTACTACATGCCTTCTGGCATCTGATTAATAGTTTCTTTTTATTGATTTTTTTTAGCAAATAAAAGGCCTATAACTGTAAAAAATGTGTTTTTGCTGTGAAATCTTTACTGTTTTTAAAAAAAGTAAACATAAGATCAACTTTAGTAGTACTGTAATAGTAACATTTCAAGATAAACTGAAGGTTTACTTCATTAAAGTAATGAAGTCGTGGCCTAATGGTTAGAGAGTCGGACTCGTAACACAAAGGTTGCGGGTTCGAGTCTCGTACCGGCAGGGATTGTAGGTGGGGGGAGTGAATGTACAGCGCTCTCTCCACCTTCAATACCACAACTGAGGTGCCCTTGAGCAAGGCACCAAACCCCCAACTGCTCCCCGGGCGCCGCAGCAAAAATGGCTGCCCACTGCTCCGGGTGTGTGTTCACGGTGTGTGTGTGTTCACTGCTGTGTGTGTGCACTTTGGATGGGTTAAATGCAGAGCACTAATTCTGAGTATGGGTCACCATACTTGGCGACATGTCACTTCACTCATTATCCATGCATCATTTTTCAGAATATTCGTGTTAAAATGCATCAAATATGATGCAACAGGCTTCTCTCAATCATGATTGTATTGCATTGCATTAAATGTTTTGAAACTACAGAGCTTGAACATCAAAGCTAAGCATTTAAATATCATCTTCAGACATTTGGGAGTTATAAAGTGACAACTAATTTTCATATGCATTTGATGTAATTAGTCTGTCATACTGTTATAAAGATCTAATTTATTTACATTACAAGCTATCAGAATTTAATCAGACTTTTTGGCCATATAAATATCAGCAACTGCATATTTTTGCTGAGTTTGTGCCTCTGAATAAAACTGAGGTGCTTTTTTTGTCCTCGAGTATGAGCCACAGATACTGTCCTTAGAGCTTTTATGTGACCCGTAACATTCCTCGAATTAGTCATTTCAAGCCGCATTGAACTGAAATCGTCAAAGACTAAGGAGAATCTTGAAGAAGTCGATGTCTTGCAGGACTCCGCTCGACTCTGACCTGCTGTCGGCTCCGGAGCACCTGGGCGAGGTGTTTTCCCACCTCTGCTGATCGACTCAGGCACACTCCCCAGGGGTTGTCTATCACACTGGCCACAGCCAGCAGAGACGCAGGCCATGTCAGAGCCGCTACTATGCCTGAACACAGACAAGAGAATGAGCAACGCAGTTATTCTGGAGACCTTAATGCACTGGGTGACAATTAAAACATGCTTTCATGATGCTACAATTAAATGAAGCCATTTTGAGGCAGTTTAAACATGGTATAAAAAAATTAAGTAATTTGTTGCTCAGGAGGAAAACAAAATACTATACGAGTTGCCTTATTTTCTATTCATTTTAAATTATATTTTTGAAATCCTGTTTTCAAAATGCAGTTTAAAACTGTGATTTGTGTGATTTTCCGTAAGTAGCTATGCTGAAAATCATAAAATTTTTAATTATTTTTATTTTAAATAATTTTCTAACTTAATATATTTTAAAATGTAATTTATTTCTGTGATGAAAAGCTGAATTTTCAGCTTCATTACTCCAGTCTTCAGTGTCACATGATCCTTCAGAAATCCTTCTAATATGCTGGCTTAATTCAACTTTTTATGATTTTTTGATGAATCGAATTTTTTAGCATTTATTTGAATGTATTTAAAATGTAAATCTTTTTTATAATATTCTGGGTTCTAAACATTCGACTTAAAAAAATCTGAACACATTTGCTGATTCCGTTAAAATAGACCATGAGCTGCAGAAAAGACCAAATTGCGCTTCTAAAGTTGCGTGGGAGAGAATGCTGCCGCTGATTTAAGCTTCACTGGCCACTCAGCAAAACATTAAAAAATTTTATACATTTTATTAGAATACATTTATTATAATACACATGAATAAATGAAACAGAAACTCCAACTCAACAATTAGAGAACTTCTCCTGTATTAAACACATCCCTGCTGAGACGACTGTCAAAAATCGATTTAAGATAAAGTGAATTAATATGACAAAACACTCACATAAATAAGGTAAGATAAAGCACAGGAGATTTTCGGTTTTCCTCAAACAAGTAGTTCTACCTTTTTTATAGCGTACCTGCATTAGTAAAGCGGACAAACCTGAGAGCACTGTGTATTTGAGGGCCTCCTGAGCCACGACACTAACAAGCCCATCCCATAATGAATCCAGAATAGAGCCCAGGTCCAATAAATAACGCGACTCCCATTTCAGACAGTACTGCTCGCCACACGCTCCTAGACTGGACCAGGGAGCCTGAAACGAACCTGTGATAGGCAAGAGAATCTGAACCTTAGTGTGAACAATATTTCATGGGTATTTTAGGATTACATTAAAGAAATCACGAAAAATGAAAATCTGCTAAAAATGTCTTCACTCTCAGGCCATCCAAAATGTAGATGAGTTTGTTTCTTCATCAGAACAGATTTGGAGAAATTAGCATTACATCACTTGCTCACCAGTGGATCCTCTGCAGTGAATGGGTGCCGTCAGAATGAGAGTCCAAACAGCTGATAAAAACATCACAGTAATCCACACCACTCCAGTCCATCAGTTAACAACTTGTGAAAAGCTGCATGTTTGTAAGAAACAAATCCATCTTTAAGATGTTTTAACTTCAAATGCGAGTCCTCTATAATAGTAGAGGCCATAAAAAGCCATCTCATCTGAATCAGGAGAGAAATATGCACATATAAAGCACTTGTTTATATGCAAAAACAGTCCAAAACAATTCTAAACAAATATGTCTCTGGATTTTGCTGTGAGAGAACGACAGGGGATCAACTTTTTCACTGGAGGAAACGTAATTATTGACTGCATTTTGGCCAGAAACAACGCCGGTTTAAGGTGAAAACATTTTAATGATGGATTAACTGATGGACTGGAGTGGTGTGGATTATTGAGATGTTTTTATCAGCTGTTTGGATTCTCATTCTGGCGGCACCCATTCACTGCAGAGGATCCATTGGTGAGCAAGTCATGTGATGCTAAATTTCTCTAAATCTGCTCTGATGCTAAATCTTGGATGGCCTGAGGGTGAGTAAATATTAAGCAAATTTTCATTTTTCGGGCGAACCATTCCTTTAATAATTAATAACCGTCATACAGTATATATTTTAAAAATACAATTTGTAGTACTAACACAAGAGCGTTTTAAACAAAATAGTAACTGAAAAAAAAATGCTATTTTGATGGAGATAAGAAGGTTAACTGTGGCACTCACTGTATTTGCCACTGCACAGCCAGCCTGTCACGGCTACAGTGAGATGAAGATGCTTTCCAGAACTCATCGGAAGAAACTCAAACTCCTCGATAGCGCCGACACGCTTGTTCATTTTATAGCCTGAATAAAAAAAGTAAATATACCTTTTGGTATTTTCATACATATAAAATAAATGAACATAAATATAGATAGGAAACACAGAAAACCTGATCTGCAGACAGAAATAAAGAGAGGCAGACGCACACACTAACTGCATTTGAAGAAAAACCGAACAACTCCAATAACCTTGAGCTCAGTTCACTTTGAATGGAAGCTGAGAATGTGCTATGAAAGCAGGATTATATAAAACTCCATTTGAACCAGAAAACAGACTGTAACTTTATCATCACTGTCAGTCTGCTAATTCATCTGCTCATCGATCAATCCTGTAATGCAGCTAGTGATTCAACACTTTTGGTTGCAAGAATTGTGTAAGAAATTTTATAAATCACTTGCCCTCCAGAAGGAACAGAACCTTAAGACACCAACACTGCTTTAAAGTCGTGTTAAAGGGGTCCTATTATGCTCTTTTACGAAGTCTTGATCTTGTTTTGGGGGTGTACTAGATAACTAGAACAGGCTCTCATACTAGGTTGTTCGAAAAACACATTATTTTGTAGTTTTTGAAAAGTGATTTCTGTTAAATAAAATATCTCCTTTTGAAGTGGACTTTGAGTTTTGTAACTTTGCAGATCTTTTTTATGCTCAAACAGCAACATTACAGACTAACTAAAGTTGAAAAAGTGAAAAAGCATAATAGGACCCCTTTAATGTAATAAATAGTCCTTTAAAGAGGCTTTATAATGATTTTACCATGAACACTACTGATAAATACAAATGATAAAATACACCAAAGTTCAATATATAGTTCATTTGATAATAACAACTATTATTATTAATTATTTTTTATTAATTTCAATATCATATTTATTATTGTTTCTATGTTTTTTTATCAGCATAAACAAGCTTCAGCTAGGTCAGCTAGCTCACCTGTTAACCCGGCCCCTGCAGCTCCAAACAAGGAGGCCATAATGGCGATGCCCGTGGCTGATCCCAGCACAGCGGCTCCACCCGCTCCTAGCACCGCTCCTGCCCCGGCAGCCACCAGAGGAGCCGCCAGCCCTCCTGTAACACCTGACAAAAACACATACATGATCATTAAAGGGTTACTCCACCCCAAAATGAAAATTTTGTCATTAATCACCTACCCCCATGTCGTTCCAAACCCGTAAAAGCTTCGTTCGTCTTCGGAACACAATTTAAGATATTTTGGATAAAAACCGGGAGGCTTGTGACTGTCCCATTGACTGCCAAGTAACTTACACTGTCAAGGTCCAGAAAAGTATGAAAGACACTTTTCTGGACCTTGACAGTGTAAGTTACTTGGCAGTCAATGGGACAGTCACAAGCCTCCCGGTTTTCATCCAAAATATCTTAAATTGTGTTCCGAAGACGAACGAAGCGTTTAGGGGTTTGGAACGACATGGGGATAAGTGATTAATGACAAAATTTTCATTTTGGGGTGGAGTATCCCTTTAACACCAGCCAAATGATACGAAATCTCATGAAACCAGTCCTGAACATGTTCTAGTCATATTTCAGAGAACGAACTAAGTAGTAAGTAATTTAATAATCTAAAATAATAATGTAAATATTAAAATATAATAATAATAATGAAAACTTTTGAACAGAATGGAGATGTGTAAATTTTTCTTATTTTGTCTAAATATCATATTTTTTCATTTAGTAATGCCCTTCAGAGGCTACAGAAGATAGTTACATGTTTCCCAAAAGACAAAAGTTAATTTTACCCTGATCTTCAAATTCAAAAAGTTTTCAGCTCGGAAGAGAGGGGCGGGGTCAACAGAGCTCATTAACATTTAAAGGAAAATGTTACAAAACGGCTTGCTCTGAAAAGAGCTGTTTTTGACAGGGTAAAAAAGGTGTTTTTTTTACATTTTAATCTGGATTACAACATGCCCTAGATATTGTTTGAAAATGTTTTGATTCTTTACTGTTTGGTCACACGTTACATTAAGGCTCTATTAATTAACATTAGTTAATTCATTAGTAAACATAAACTGTCAATGAAAAATTCATTAATCTTAGGTAATTTCAATATTTAATAACACGCTGTTAAAATAAAAAGTTGCAACTGTTATTTAATGAACTAACTAATTTTTAAACAAGTGTGAAATTGTTGTGTATTACTTTATTGTATGTAAATGTTCAGTTCTTTTTGTTATAAGAAAAAAGTTATTAAACCTGTTATACTTTATGACAACACTTTTTTGCAACTAAATGTCAACACCGTGATAATACCGTATAACGTGATAAAAGCATTAGCAATTAATCGCAACATGAAAAGTTGATACCATCATATGCCTATTGTGGAGTATATATAAGCATCTATTATGTGAAATAGCTTATTCAGGACAGTCCTAAAAACAAATAACATGCAATTTTCATGAGCTCTATTATTTTGTTAAAATTATTAACATATTTGCATATTCTGCAAGGGGTATGTAAACTTATGAGCACAACTGTATATATATATATATATATACACACACACACACACACACACGACAGATTAAACATCCGGATGGATTATAGTAGGTTTTTAATATAAATAAAATAAATATATATTTAAATAATAATAACAACAATAATAAAAAAAATTAACAAATGAAACATCTAGATGTATTATAGTAACACATTTTTTAAAAGTATAAACTAAATAAATATATATTTAATTTAAATAAATACAACAACAACAATAATAATAATAATAATAGTCACTAATAAAATATTCTCGTACGGTATGCATTATGGTAGGTAAATTGCTTAAAAAAACATTACGGTAATTAAATTGTTTTAATAAAAATGTTATAAAATAAAATATTTTAAATAAATAAATAAATACAGATGCATTACAGTGATGGCAGTTTAGTTTTTAATGTCTTAAAAATAAAATAAATGAATAAATAAATAACTAAAAATCCTAAAAAAACGAACAAACAAATAAACAGGTTTTACGCATGTTTTAATTGACATTCACCTTGGCCAATGTAGTTTAAAACAAACGTCCTGTGGCACTCAGACTCACCAATTACCGTCCCTCCACCTACAGTGGCAAGTCCGATGAGCAGGTACCGGCGCAATTTACGACCTCTCTCTTTCTTCTGTCTTCTTGATGACTCTTCTCTGTTGAGAGAATGTCAATTTGATTCATTATATGCTCACTGGAGCTGCTGAAAGCTCAGAGGTCTGGTTCATTGTCATCTGAATTCTATTCAAAAACTAAAACTAAAATGAAAGCGCTGAACTGAAAGGAAAAACCTTGACCTAGACTGCATATACACAAAATACTCACAGCTGTGCGTGGTCCACATCATCACATGCAGCAGAGAACACATTAAAAGACAGAAATCAGCAAATACATTCAAGTTTGTTCCTCATGTCAAAATTATTACAGCACTTTCACTGATTTCACAATGATATTGATCGTGCCCCTGTATTGACTTTTCTTTGTGAATCTACAGATGGCTATACGTGGGCTTTGTGGAAATAATCTCTTGCAAATGATCCATCCTACAGCGAAAGCAGTGTGTGTTTCTCAGAGACATGTTGATAACCCCCCAAAAACCCCATAAAGAGGCAGCAGCTGATGATCGGAGGAAGTTTCACTCACTCGCTCTCCTCTCCTGCTTCTCTCAATATCTCTCCGAGAGTCTCTTCAAAATCCTCCAGCTGCTGTTGGGTCACACGCAGCAGACAGCTGACATGTCGGATCAGAACTCGAGCCCTGGCATCATAATGTCCTACATGAGAAGAATCAAAACACGGTCATTACACGGAAAACAAGACTGGAGGAAGAAGAATGAATCTCACAGAAAAGACTAGTTCATAGTTTGCCGAAAAATCTAAAGAAAAAAAACAATCTTGCATACAGAAAGTAAATGTTTTTAGAAGTATTTCGTCACCTCTATTTTTATAGCTCTTTATAAAACAGAAATTGTTTCAAAGCAGCTTCACAGAATTAAACAGGAAAGTAAAAGGATTAATGATGCAAATTCCAAATATGAGGCAAATCCACATTTTTATTTTTAATAAAATAAATAAATCTAAATAACAAATAAATCATCCAGATGCATTACGGTAATTAACTTACATATATATATATACACACACACACACACACACATTTTAACATTTATATATGTATGTATATATAATTAAAATAAATAAATATACGAATAACGTCACAAACACTGAGTTAAGCGAGCATCCATAAGTTAAGCCTCGTTCAGACTGTCAGCCCAAATCCGATTTTTGTGCAAATCCGATTGAAATCCGATCATATTTAGATAGTCTGAACGGCAACGAACTACATGAAATCCGATTTTTGCAAATCCGTTTCGAGATACATTCATATGTGGTTTGGAATCCTATTCAAATCGCATTCCTGGAAATCCGTTTCAGTCTGACCGGTCAGATCGGATTTAGCCTAGCTTTTTCACGTTTTCACGCCACGTAAAACGTAAAAACATCAGACGTTTTTGTAGAAAACATAATGAAGTCTTTGCAGAAACAAGCTTGTGTTGTTGCGAACTGCAAGGCAAGCGGAAAAAGATAATATACTGCTAGTATACGCACCTCTTTGAGTTTTGAAACCAGCGGAGACGGCAGTACAGAATAAAGCCGCACATTCCAGCTTCCTGCGTTTCTGCCGCTGCCTCATAAGACAAAATCTATAATAATAAATAATAATCCAGCGCGACGGCAACATGTTGTCATGTCGTAAGACAACATCTGTATTGCAAAAATTATTGCTGTTATTGTTGTTTTTAGCGTTGGCATAACAACGCAACGGCATTGCCATAGAAACCAACGCACATTCCGTAAAATGTAAGAGCGCTTATGGACACACAATTCGGATATGAACAGTTGCGATACACAGTGTGGACAGTCAGTCGTCTAGATCGGATTCCATCCGGATATGCACAAAATCGGATTTGGGCTGACAGTCTGAACGAGGCTTTAATGCTGGGTCAATGTCACACACGTACCTGAGTGATGGGTAAAGCTCCGGCTCTGAGCAGCGGCTCCGCATGCAAGATGGACAGGAAGGTGTCAGTGCCTTCGAACCCGAGCCCTGCCAGGAACGCTTGCATAACCGGCATGACCGACTCATCAAGATCCAGCCACTGAACAAGACCCTCCAGATACGTCTCACGAAAACGTCTGCATTGGGAAAATATCATCACAACCCCAAACCATTAAAAAAAAAACTTCTAAGAAATTAAATGTTATTATTAAGCAAAGATACACTGAATCAAAAGTGACAGTAAAGGCATTTATAATGTTACAAATACATGCTGTTCTTTTGAAATTTTTATATTCATCAAAGATTCCTGAAAAAAGCATCAAATTAGCATATTAGTATGATTTCTGAAGGATTACATGAGACTTAAGACTAGAGAAATGATGCTGAAAATACAGCTTTGCATCACAGAAATAAAATACACTTTAAAATGTATTCAAATAAAAACACTTACTTTAAATTGTAATAATATTTCACAATTTTACTGTTATTATTACTGTATTTTTTAATGATGCAGCCTCGGTGTGCATAAGAGACTTTTTTTCCTTACCAACCCAAACCTTCTAATGCTACTGTATATTAGTAAACAGCACAATAAAGTGTTATTATTGTTATTGCATATATATTTTTTACTTTTGCTCAGGTCCTTGAAACAGCTGGCCCAAAGACACTCCACATAACCCAGCGTACGCAAAGCGCACTGGTTCACTCAGCTGCCGACCAAACACTTTCTCTGCTGGTGACTGATCACGCTTCAGTCCTCCTGGGTCTGTAACAATAAAATGACAAAATGCAAAATCAAAAAATGTACAAAGTTCCTGTAAAGAATGGGTAAGTGTTCAATAACAGATACACACAAACTTTGTTACATCCCATCTAGTCCTCCACATTTTCATTACACGCTTATTACAGGGGTCCAAGTAGAAAAAGCTTCTAATATTCGTCCGTTTTTAAAATCATTTTATGACCTTATTTTCTTGCTTGAAGAAGAAAATTATTTTGTGTGATTTTGTAAGTTTAATATATGAAGAGTTCAAATGCAAAAGCCTCCAAGTGCCATCTGACATTTTCATCTAAAACGAGCATTTTTATTCGTTTAGGTTCAGTAATTTGACTCTAATGGCAATGTATAGGTCCTTTTCTATGCAATTAAAGTGAAATAACTGAACATAAATATAGGAGCCTGATAAAAATGCTCATTTTAGACGGAATGTCTAGAAATTTGAATTTGAGAAAATTAGAGGCTTTTGCATCTGAACTCTTCATGTGAATATTGAAAAGGGTGTAGCTTCTAGATCCAACATAATTTGCAATATTTTCTGATATTGGAGACCACATAAAACTCTGTTATTATAACATTCTGCTTTGCATAAGGCATTTCCACAAACATATGACACTATAATAATTCAGTATATGTAGTACTCATTGGTCTCGAGGTCATATGCACTGAAAATGCATAGCAAAGCATGCAATGTGTTATTATGTGACAAACCATTTTTACTTGTTTAACCAAAACATGTTTAAGGCCTCGATCTTATCCCGCATCTGTGATTAAAACCCAGAGCTGATCAGCAGCTGTTGGACACGTAACGTTATAACTGTTATCTGTTCAACACAACGGACTCAAATCCGATCATCAGAAAACAACATTATTAGAAGTCTCATCATGGAAACGAAATACAATAAAATAGAACTAACAATAAATAATACATTCTCTCAAAATAAAATAAAAAACAAAGACTCTTATTTTGTTGTTATCTGCTGGGCAAAACTAAAACCCTTTCAAAATCGCTCTTAGTGAAATCTATAAATACCTGGAGTTAATTTCGAGTCCTCGTTGTTGTTATTTGTTGTTTCCATTGGTTTATCCTCACAGCAAGTTACAGCAGATTTGTTCTCTCCATGGAGGAAAGTTATACTTTGTTGTCGTGACAGATGAAAGTTCAGCATTAAGTTGTTCTTGTATGCAGCAGCGCCCTCTATCCAAGAAATAATGGAGGACTGGCTTATGAATATTAATGAGGTAGCGTTACGGTTGTCCATTTGGCTCTACCGATTGGCTGAACTGCAGACGTTGGCGAGGTTTAGCTGGCGAATAAGCGAATCCTAAAAGCGAAGGATTGGCTTATGAATATTAATTAACTGAACTGCAGACGTTGGTGATGTTGGCGTCGTCAGCTGGCAAATTAGCAAGATTGGTTTGGCTTATGAATATTAATCACGCAACATAACTGGACAGTATCGGAATGTTACTTGGCAACTTCACCACGACTTGACTAAAAGTCAAAATTGCAATTTTGCCTCATGACGACGTTATCGATTTATTTGAAACGTTCTGAGGAAAGCTACTTTTAATTTACGCTATTAAGTGTTTACGTTTTGCCCGATAAATGACATAAATGTTGCTTTTGTGTTTTAGCTGACTTGGGAGCATTAGCCGCTGGCTATAAATATTGTGAAATATTAATATTAATTAGGTCCGTGACTTGAGGCTCCAAGAAGGTGTAGCAAGCAAATAAAGACAGCAGGACAATAATTAATATTCATAAGCTGAGTCTTCTTAGAAGCATCAATAATTTGAATATATATATATAAACTATTTTTAAAAGAGTTTTAAAATACTTTTCAAACATGATATTAGGTTTAGTTGATGTTGTGAGGATGATTTATGTTATTAATTGTTCATGTCATGCCTCATAAATCCGTTTTTCCTTAGTGTTGAACAAAAAAAGGAGACTGAATATAAATACATAAGCATATGCCCTCTAGAAATATTGTCATTTTGTGGTCAGCAGAGGGCATTAGAGACCTATATAAAACTGCCACTATATAAAACCAACCAAGAGATATATATATATATATATATATATGCACTAAGCAGTAAGTAAATAAATACATAAAATTAGTGGGCCTAATAGTAAATAATAAATGTGAAATAATAAAACTAAGTAAATAAAAAATATACTAAATATAATAGTTGGCAACTGCCCATCTTTTTAAAATTATACATGATTGATTATAGCAATTTGTCTGATAATTCGCATTGCCTAATAACTCTCTTTTTGACACCTCCTGGTATTTTTAGACTCATTCTGGTTCTTATCGTGTGTGTTATTATCTTGATCGCTCCTGTTGTTATATAAGGTCTGTGAGCTGCTGTATCTTGTTGCTTTTTCCAGTAAAAGCCCATACTTGGGATGATCCAGGAGAACGATTTGTGAAATGCATGATTACATAATTTTCTAAAACCAAAAAAGCATATGTTTGAGCAACAATCTCCTTAGAGCAATAACTATATATGAATGTGTCTTTCTTTACAGCTTTACAAGTCTGTACATAGATTCATGGACATGCCTATTCATATTCTTTTCACAAGAATCTAACTGGAAAATATGATATTCACAACAAGAGTATGTGTGTGCATTTGCACATATCTCCTGTCTTTGTGTGTCACGTCTGTATTTTCTCTCCTGTCTTCCTTTCTTTCTGTGCCTGGTACCATCTCTTTACAGAGCTCTGAGGTCAAGACTGTAAGGAAGGAGAAAAGAAAGGAACAACTAGCAGTCGACGTTACTTAAAACAAACCCTGTCCTTCCTTCACGTAAATGAATGTCAGTGAAGAATCTTACATTTGCGTTTGAGGTCAAACATCCTGTTTATACGCCGGTGTGCATTACAGATGTCTTTATCTGTGCTTCTTTCTCCATGTCCACTTGAAAGGATCACATGCAACCTGCAAGAGAGATACAGAGCACAGAAACGTCATCGGCCTTGACAGACTATGTAAGCAAATGTCATTTTTTCCATTTTCATTTAATGTAAAACCATCTGTGGTGCAACACGCCCAATATTCATAACTCATAGAAACAGAAAATACAAACAGAGATTCACAAAGCTCTCCAAATTAAAAACATTTGCAGCATACAAAATATAGATGATGATAGACTGAATAAGTCAACAACAACAACAACAACATCTATTAAATATATTATATTGCTAGTAAATAATAAAAATTATAACTGAATATACTAAATTTATAATCAATATTGTATTATTTTTAACTAGTTTTATGATGTACAACTGAAATAAATAAATAACTATTTAGAGAAACAAATAAAAACAACTGTTTTGTATAAATTCTTTATAAATCAACTGTATACATATATAATATTGTACTGCTTTATGTAAAATCAACCGTAATGAAAAAGTAAAACACTTTCAGGTTTTATGTCAAATCTTATGGAAAAATAAAAAATAAATAATATTTAAACACTTTCAGGTTTTATGTCAAATCTTATGGAAAAATAAAAAATAAATAATATTTAAACACTTTCAGGTTTTATGTCAAATCTTATGGAAAAATAAAAAATAAATAACATTTAAACACTTTCAGGTTTTATGTCAAATCTTATGGAAAAATAAAAAATAAATAACATTTAAACACTTTCAGGTTTTATGTCAAATCTTATGGAAAAATAAAAAATAAATAACATTTAAACACTTTCAGGTTTTATGTCAAATCTTATGGAAAAATAAAAAATAAATAACATTTAAACACTTTCAGGTTTTATGTCAAATCTTATGGAAAAATAAAAAATAAATAACATTTAAACACTTTCAGGTTTTATGTCAAATCTTATGGAAAAATAAAAAATAAATAACATTTAAACACTTTCAGGTTTTATGTCAAATCTTATGGAAAAATAAAAAATAAATAACATTTAAACACTTTCAGGTTTTATGTCAAATCTTATGGAAAAATAAAAAATAAATAACATTTAAACACTTTCAGGTTTTATGTCAAATCTTATGGAAAAATAAAAAATAAATAACATTTAAACACTTTCAGGTTTTATGTCAAATCTTATGGAAAAATAAAAAATAAATAACATTTAAACACTTTCAGGTTTTATGTCAAATCTTATGGAAAAATAAAAAATAAATAACATTTAAACACTTTCAGGTTTTATGTCAAATCTTATGGAAAAATAAAAAATAAATAACATTTAAACACTTTCAGGTTTTATGTCAAATCTTATGGAAAAATAAAAAATAAATAACATTTAAACACTTTCAGGTTTTATGTCAAATCTTATGGAAAAATAAAAAATAAATAACATTTAAACACTTTCAGGTTTTATGTCAAATCTTATGGAAAAATAAAAAATAAATAACATTTAAACACTTTCAGGTTTTATGTCAAATCTTATGGAAAAATAAAAAATAAATAACATTTAAACACTTTCAGGTTTTATGTCAAATCTTATGGAAAAATAAAAAATAAATAACATTTAAACACTTTCAGGTTTTATGTCAAATCTTATGGAAAAATAAAAAATAAATAACATTTAAACACTTTCAGGTTTTATGTCAAATCTTATGGAAAAATAAAAAATAAATAACATTTAAACACTTTCAGGTTTTATGTCAAATCTTATGGAAAAATAAAAAATAAATAACATTTAAACACTTTCAGGTTTTATGTCAAATCTTATGGAAAAATAAAAAATAAATAACATTTAAACACTTTCAGGTTTTATGTCAAATCTTATGGAAAAATAAAAAATAAATAACATTTAAACACTTTCAGGTTTTATGTCAAATCTTATGGAAAAATAAAAAATAAATAACATTTAAACACTTTCAGGTTTTATGTCAAATCTTATGGAAAAATAAAAAATAAATAACATTTAAACACTTTCAGGTTTTATGTCAAATCTTATGGAAAAATAAAAAATAAATAACATTTAAACACTTTCAGGTTTTATGTCAAATCTTATGGAAAAATAAAAAATAAATAACATTTAAACACTTTCAGGTTTTATGTCAAATCTTATGGAAAAATAAAAAATAAATAACATTTAAACACTTTCAGGTTTTATGTCAAATCTTATGGAAAAATAAAAAATAAATAACATTTAAACACTTTCAGGTTTTATGTCAAATCTTATGGAAAAATAAATAATATTTAAACACTTTCATGTTTTATGTCAAATCTTATGGAAAAAAAATAAATAAATAACATTTAAACACTTTCAGGTTTTATGTCAAATCTTATGGAAAAATAAATAACATTTAAACACTTTCAGGTTTTATGTCAAATCTTATGGAAAAAAAATAAATAAATAACATTTAAACACTTTCAGGTTTTATGTCAAATCTTATGGAAAAATAAATAATATTTAAACACTTTCAGGTTTTATGTCAAATCTTATGGAAAAATAAATAATATTTAAACACTTTCAGGTTTTATGTCAAATCTTATGGAAAAATAAAAAATAAATAACATTTAAACACTTTCAGGTTTTATGTCAAATCTTATGGAAAAACTATAAATACATACAAAGCTGTATTGTTTTATGATGTTAAACCGAATAAAAAATAATATTAGAACAAACTTATCTATAAATAATTATGTAAATAAATAAGTAAATAAATAAATACAATTGTAATAGTAAATCATATTTAAACACTTTCTGGTTTCATGGAAAATCTTATTAAATAACTATCAATATATAAAGCATGTATTGTTTTATGACGTTAAACTGAACAATAAATAAATAACAAATAAATAAATAAATAAATATTAACAGCAAATATTATTTGAACACTTTCTAGTTTCAATTCAAATCTTATGGAAAGACTGTATGAATATATAAAGCTGTATATGTTAAACAGCAATGAATGAATGAATAATTCTTATTCAGTTATTGTCATGCTTCTGTAGAGTCTTATCTTTTGGCATTATTAGTTTATCTTAGCTTAGTGTTTAGTTGAGCTTATAGTTAAGTGAGATCCTTTTCTTTTCTCAGATTTTCAAATGTAACTGTTTAGACACCTACTCCATCTCATTCCCATCAGCCTGATACAACGCTAACGACACGCTCGGTCGCACTTGCATTTAACCTAGAGAGCAGAAAAGCGAAGGCAAACAGAAGAAAGGTGCTAAAGCTGTTTGTTCAAAGCTAAAAGTGC